CACAATGTTTGCAAAATGATTAAAAAACGTTTTTAAAATATTTAAAAAGGGACATTTTGAATGTTCAGAGAAACATTTTTATAACTTAATGGCAACACTGGCAAAATGTTCTTAGAACATATTTTTGTTAGCTGGGTTGCAGGTCTACTGCCATAGCAGGAAAATACAATTCTATATGCAAGTAATAGAATGCATTTAGCTCAACCATGTGCATTGTTAGGATAAAAAATAAACAGGCAAAGTTTAAAAAGGAAGAGAAAAGCTTTTCTGTATATTTTCTTGTTTATGTCAAAGGCTATACATACAAATGAATGAAACTCTAAATTATGTTGGTGCACAATCACCTGTCGTTTGGTAGAAGCAAGCCAAATTAGGCAGATCTGAACATGATCAGGTTGCATGACATGCTCTGAGTTTTGAAAACTATGCAAGGTAATAAAATACGACCCAGATTACAATAAATATACAGGCAGAGCAGTACAATTATTAAAAAAAGTGATTGCAGTGGCGCATGAAAACGAGAGCTGAAGAAACATTACCTGACACCAGAAGCTTTAATACCAAAGCGAAAAGGATTATTTTGGATTTGTGACAAAAAAAAATTCTGCAAGGAGTGGATGCAAAGTAAATAAGATTTATTGCAATGTTGACAGCTTCATTGATTATAATGGGAGCATTTGCAGGAGTCCATAACTCAACAGTGAAGCTCAAACGGTTGCTTGAAACAGTGTAAAACTTGCAGTGACAGTTCCAGTGATTAAAACGGGATCTGAGTGTTCTAGTATTGTTTTCTGCGTATAATATATTCAATATTTACATAACGGTTTTGTTTATCATACTGCAAGCGGGGCAATACAAGTTAATCATTTAGGCAATGCTTTTTCTACAAGACATTTGAAACATTTAAAATCAGCCTTGAAATCGAGAACCCTTAACTTTAGTGGTAAGGTTTTGTTCAAATGCTTAGTGATGCTTGTTTTGCAATCACTACTAATAAAAGGAATTACAGTGAACACAAACTGCGTACAAATGGCAGAAATAGGCCTTCAGACACATTCATTATGGAATCTCTTAAATCCCACAGCAGCTATGCATCTTAATTAGAGTCAAGGTCCCTATTAATTATATCTTTGCGTTCAATTATTGCCCTCCAGTCATTACAGATGTGTTATTACAGAAGGTTCATGCAGTCAGTGATGACAGGGTTCTGTAACAAGGCCTGCTATCAGTTTGTCTGTCCCTTTAAAACTCTCCAAGCAACCTTAATGTCCATGCAGTTACTATCATAACATTTCCAAACATTGCATCCAGTGTCCCAATAGCGTGGAAGTCATACACAGTTATTTGTAATGTTACTGTAAACTAAATGTTACAGTTTACTTAGCAGTCATTTTTTTACTTTTGACAGTCACATTTTTTTCTCTCGATCTGACAAGCTTCATTAGACAAATGAGTGAATAAAACAAACTGAAGGAGGAACCTAAGCCATAACTACAGACCAGAACATTATGACTTCATGGGATGGGCTCTTTTGACTTGGGCTAGTAAGCAAACACATATTAAAAAAACACTCAGAACACCTTAGCAACCACATAGCAATGCCCTGGCAACCACTCACAGCATTTAACAACTGTGCACAGGAAAACACTACTACTAGTAATTAATTTTATTTGCAACCTAATGTTTTCAATTGCCAAACTTTAAAAAAAACAAAAACATTTTTAGAGACATTTTAGAACCACGTAAAGAAAATGTAAAGAATAAATTGAAGGGAACACAATATATTATCTAAATTTAAATGTCTAGGGAGCAAACAACGAGTTGTCTTAGATTTCAAAGTTTGAAAATACAACTTCCAACTAATCTCATTTACATTTTAATTCATTTCACACACGCACACAAAAAAATAGCTTAAGGCTTGAATAGCTCTGCTCCCAACCGCTAGAATATAGAAATAACCCGTACTGCACAAAAATGACAGAAGTCATCATGTTTATGGTGAATTTGATCAAAATACTGTCAGTTTATGATATATAAACATAAAACAAGAACAAAATCAACTTAATTAAAAGGGAAAACAAGTTTTCATACCCCATTTACAGATATTTGTTCTTGTTTTAAGCATAAACTCACTTCTTTTTGTTAAAATGTTCAAGATTTCATTTTACACATTTAATAAGGATAAATATATCCTGATTTAAGGATGATTAGATAAATAAAAAATACTGAGGAAGACATTAATTTTTTGCCATGCATGCAACATGCAATGGTATGACTATGAATTTATGACTTTCTGTTCAGAATAAAGACCTTTTATAAGGTCTCAAATTGAAAGGTGAATTTACTTTTTAAGACCCACAGAAATTCTGTTAAAATTACATTTTTTGGCTTTTAGCTTTTTGCTCATGGATCTTTTACTTAACAGAAAGTTTTTTTACTCCACTGAAAGTATATGCAAACCCTAAACTTACATATAAATTCTATTAAATAAATTGATAACATAAATGAATAACAATTACAGCAACTGCTATTTTTTCAAACATCGCATTTTGCCACTGTTCCATCTTGTTCAAGCCTGTGTAATTTAATATGAACCTACTGTACCTGTCTGGGTTTATAGATTTACATGCACGCAGCTGCACAACAAGTACACGTTTTGCAGTAGTAGAAAGATCAGTCACGTTAATGAATTAAGTAATATGATGGCATTATAAAAAGCATTATATTTGGCTGTACCTGTAACAATGGCATTATAAGCATTTTGTACAATTTCAAACATTTTATTTTATTGTGGTTTTTTGAACTGTAACCTTTACTCCAACCTCTTGTTTGCATTCTCAGCTCTCTATGCACCACCTCCCTCTCTTCACTTCATTCTCAATGTGCCAGTATTTGCCAGTAAAATGAAATGGTAAAAATAGCTGTTGTGCCGGTATCAGACACATCTCTTTGTTACCTGAAGCTTACAGCTCACTCTTACCTTCTATTTTTTACTGCTACCAATCCTGAACACTTTATAACTTAATTAATGCAATTTTTGTATGATTATGCATTTCAGCATTTATTTAAAAATAGCATCATGCCAACATACTGTACAAAATGGCATTAGATGATGTAAAGCAGAGCAAAGATTTAAAGTTGGCAGGCTTTCAGATACATTAGATGATGCCAGAGGAATGAACTATCAGAAAATGAAGGATTGAATTTGCCCAAGTGTAAAAATAAATAAATAATAATACTAATTCCCAACAGAACACAATATTAGAGATTGCAAAGCCATGGAAGAGAGATGTTGCTCTAAGTGTGATAAAATATGTTAATCAATTCCATAAATTTAGAATTGGTTGGAGACCATGTGGAGGCAGGAAACATGGGAACGAGGCGTTATTTCCGCAGACAAGCCAAGCAGTCCATTTGTGCAGGACTTATTGTGCTAAAACACACAGATGACAATTTCAGAGTATAAATTGTTCTATAATGCTTAGCATACCAGTTACTACTGAGATCGGAGTTAAATATCAAACATTTTTCACGTCTTTCTTATTTTGAAAAGAGGACAGAATCTGGGTTTTGGAAACCCTTAAATAGTAATTTGTAGCAATTTAACATGTTTTACTTTGATAAAGGTAGATTTCAATTGAAAGATTGACTAAAATTACACATTTCCACACAACAGATGGAGAAAATCCACACCAGGATTTACAGGTTTCCTTTTTTTTCTGACAGGTGGGGAATCTTGATTCATTAATTACCTTAAAACTAATTGCCTAGCCCACATGTCCTATAATTGAATCATATTTGATTTGGTCCAAATGCCTGCGTCTTATGTATTTAGTTTCACCTGTGGTAGACGAAGCAGTTCATTACACCATAGTGGCTGAAGCAAGTTTGTATCATTTGAGTGTTTTTTTTTGAATGTGTGACAACTAGCCCTGTTTTCTCCTATATATTTGCTGTCTTAGTAAGTAGCACTGTAATGTAGTAATTGTGGATGATGAGTTTTTAACATCACATTAATGATCTGAGTAGGAGGTGATGTGTTAAGGATAATGCTGCCAAATGCCAGTATAATGGCAGTTTGGGCTCTGACATTCATGGCAACAGTGCCTGAATATTGTATTTCGTATCTGAATGTTCACTTTGTAGTTCACATGGGGAAGTTGTCAGCAAGGGCTAAACTCCATGCCAAGTTAAGAGGCAAAAGTTCAATTCACTTACAAATGCTTTTCTCAAGCAGTGCTTTTGTATGGAATGGAAATAATGGTGAAATTGTGCAAACAGCTTTTGCTGCAATAAAATTAAGGTATGTGCCTATAGAGAAACAAACTACACAAGGAAATATTCTTTGGCGTATAGGCTATGACAAACCCATCTTATGAGAAAACGTAATTATTTTTGCAATAATTTGTACGATGTGATCCATACAGAAAAAATAAAGTAAGCATAAACCTAATTGTACGAGAGAAATTGTACAATTTCATATGAATTAACCACTAACTGGCCAAAACGTAGATTACATAGTTATGCCCTGTGAATGTTGGCTGTGACAACTAACCCCATAAAGTCGAACAACTGTCACTGGTAATTTCTTCATCTCACCACTAGAAAACCAAAAAGATCCTCTGTATTTCTTCCTCAAACACACACAAATGAAATGAAAGAACAATGTAGTCCTGTTTGCAACACTGCTTGCATTCAAAAGGCAAGCAGCTGTCATGTAACAGAAAATAAACAGTTGCAGTCATTGAAAATGAACAGACTCTAATTTCTCTAGGGGGCCAAAGAGTCTTACCTTGACACTGGAAGCCTTGCTTGCCGAAACCCCTGCAAAAGAGACGAGACTGTGTGAAAAGAGACGAGACTGTGTGACAGCACAGAAACCATATCTGGATGCATTCCTCTGCGCTCAACACTGCTTGCATTCAAAAGGCAAGCAGCTGTCATGTAACAGAAAATAAACAGTTGCAGTCATTGAAAATGAACAGACAGAAGAGTCTTACCTTGACACTGGAAGCCTTGCTTGCCGAAACCCCTGCAAAAGAGACGAGACTGTGTGAAAAGAGACGAGACTGTGTGACAGCACAGAAACCATATCTGGATGCATTCCTCTGCGCTCAGCAGCAAAACGCGCAGGCGCGCGCCATATTCCGCAAAATCGCCAAATCCATCTCTAGGAAGATGGTGATGATGATGATGATGGCTTAATCATAACGCGAGGAATTTCTCGTGATAGACAGTTAACATGTATCCGTACTACAGCAAGAGAAGAGGCGAAATAAATGTGCTGTAATTGCATAAACACACAAGTACACTGAAAACTAAATAGGCTGTCTTGTAGAGGTGCAGCACTGCGTTGGACTCGTTGCGCGAAGCGCTTGTCTTTTCCGTCTGCGCTCGGCGTCTTTGTTCAGCGTTGACACCACTGCGGATGTCTGAGCGCGTTCAAACGCTTTGGTGTTTTTCCTGTCACGAGCATCAAGTGAGTCACCTGTGCCCTTCGCAGCCGTTTACATACGACACCACCTTTGCGTCCTCCACCATACTCACCAGATGAAGTCGGTGCAGTGGCTGCAGAAGGTCGGCTGCTTGAAGAAGCGCGCGATGAACTTGTGGTTCTTCACTTCGTGTACGTTCTTCTGCCTCAGCGCGCCCTGCCTGGCGAAGCCTCGTGCGCCCCCCGCGCCCTCCGCGCCTTCCGCGCCCTCCGCAGCCTCTGGGTCGGCCATGATGGGGACGGAATGGATGAAGTGGGTAGAAATCTCCTCAACTTGTAGCCTGCGCGGTTGTATGGGGTCTTGCTCGGCTTGCGCTTCGCTTCCCGGTTGGTCGGCACGCGCGCGCACACACGCCTACCTCTCCCCAGCTGACTGTTGTGGCGGAGCGCGCGGGCAGCGGTGCTTCAGTGATCCTGTAACCACGCCCCCTTCGTGCAGACGTTTTTGAATGACTGTTGTGGTTGTGAGAAACATTTTGGTCGCGAAACCTGACAGAGAACCAAAACTCATTTCCGAGGAAACTGTCGTCAATAGTGTGACTGATCGAGCATCAGAGGCACACAGCACGTGTTGATTTGGCGCACTGCAAATGTTTACCATAGTAGCTTTCTGCCAAGACTGTGGTACGTGGTTATTATGCATCTCTGTCATAAAATAATAAACGAAAATAATTAGTTCTCATAGTTTAGCAATACATAGTCCTATATTCTACAATTGATATTGTGATATTTTTACGGTAAAATGCTATAATGATGTTGTATTTATTAGTAAAAACTATGAATCTCCTTCTGTTCGATTAAGTCAAGGGTCTCCAACTTCGGTCCTGGAGTGTCCTGCAGAGTTTAGCTCCAACCCTAATCAAGCACACCCGAACCAGCTAATCAAGGTCTTGTAGGCATACTTGAAACTTCCAGGCAGGTGTGTTGAGGCAAGTTGGAGCTAAACTCTGCATTGCATTTTTATCCAGTAGAACCAGCTGCAGTATTTTGTTAGAAAACCTGCTGTTTCTAATTGATTTAAGCATTCCTGTAGCTCAGACAATATAGAGCATAACACTAGCAACACCAAGGAGTTTGACTCCTATAATTCGTGTAAACCTTAAAGTGGTGGATAAAAGCTTCTGCTAAATGCATAAATGTAAACATGCTTATCCCAAAAACGGTGTAATTTTACATCAAATACAAAAAGCACTGTTGTTATAATCCCACTACTGTACTGTGTGATGATCACATTTACTTGTAGATATATACAACAATAGTTGCTCTACCACCCTCCATTATTACTTGACCCCTCAATTCATGTGAAACATTTGAATTCAAAATGGTAAACATATAGAAACCATTTTAATTAAAAAAAGCAATTGAAACAGAAAACAAATATAGAACTAAGACATAAAACAGATGCTAACAACTCTAAAAAACGTAACTGTTTGAGTGCATGTCACAATTATGTCAGATGTTGGGTTATAGACTGTTGCACATTTCGTGAAATTTTTGTGCGTTTAGTAAGAAAAACGCGTGAAAGTAGTGTTCCTCCCAGTCTGGTCGCATTTCAAGTTTTAATTTTTAAAAAATATGTAAATAGAAAAATTGTGTGAATGTTTTATATCAAATTTACCAAGAGAACCTGCTGATTTTGGTGACACCAGTTCTGTAATTTATTAATATTCATTAAAATTATCTATAACAAAGAGTGAAAAATTTAAGGGGGTCTGAATACTTTCCGTACCCACTGTATATATATATATATATATATTAGGTGTTATTTACACTACAATGTTGGCATAAATACTTTTCCAACTGATTAATCCAGTTAGACAATATTACTTAAATATATTTGTTCCCATATCATGAATTAAACTTAAGTACTCTGGAAACTTCAGTATATTTTAAGTTCCTCAAAAACATTTTTCCTCATGATGGACTGGAGGACAGTCTTTAAACTTCTAGCAGGAACTTAAGGATTCCATTGTGCAAGATTCTGCAGTCAAGATGAAACCTCAAGAAACCTTATACTTTATTCAGAGACCAGTCTTGTTTGAAAGGGCTCTCCAAATGGACCAGACTGTGTAGCAATTCTGAGAAGCCCCAAAAGGCATCTCAAGTATCTTTTTTTTAGCAGTTAGTGAGAAAATGTTTCAGATAAATTTTGGCACTCAAACCTGTAATTTTCTTTTTGTAATAACAGTAGCTAATTGCTTTGTGTGTCTGTATACAAATCACCTCATGATATGTGTAGAAGTGGTGGTAACTTGTTTAGTTTCTAATTTCTATGGACGACTATTTTCGTTCTTGAGAACATTTGTTCTTTGTTTGGCTTTTAAACTGATGACTTAGTTGTTTTTCAGACCAAGTAATTTTACTTGCACTTAAAAAGGTTATTTTTGAAGGAGTAGCAAAAAAAAACTTTCCCCCCGGTTATCTTTCCTGTAGCATTTAATGCAAACATTGTGGTTAAAGCCCAGTGGTCTATGATCTGAACTGATTCAAACCCCAGTAGTGCTGACCCATGAATAAGAGTTCACTAAAATCACCACTGAAAAATAAACTTAACCCATAGGCACCACCAAGGGGACTGTCCTTGCAATTACTATTCAAGAGCAAAGCATAAAATGACTAAATAAGGAACATTTCAGACCTGCCACTTGTTCTTTTTTTTCTTCCCCTTTAATTTACATGAATTCTGCCATTTAGCAGATGCTTTGCCACAACATAAGAGATTAATTTTTAAAAGGATTAACTGACCCACATTCAGAAATTGACCCACAGAGAGATAACGTCTGCAGATGACTTACAGAAAATGTCTGAGAGACTCGGAGACCTGTTAGTTGTAAAACTGGGCTGTGGTATTGAATCAAAGGTCAGATTACACACCAAAACAAAAATATTAATATATATCAATAAATAATAATTCAGTTGATGAGGCATTTCCTTACATCATCCAACCTGGCATCATTGTTAAATGCTATCTGAGTCTGAGATACACTGATTTTGATGGCCATCTGTAGAAAGTTCTTCAGGAGCCAAGAAATAAAACGCTCAAGCAGTATGTTCACTAACCCACTAAGGGTGAGTTTATTGATAAGGATATAGTCTGTGATTGCATTATTAAAACATGCAATATTTAGTCAAAGGTTACAGTTTATTCTTTGACAACAATATGCATGCCCCTCACCATTCACCACTATACCAAAACCTTTTTCTTTGAATCACTTGCATTGGCAACAAAAGCATTTGATACAGTCATCCACCATCTGCTGAGCTCCACACTTACACAAGGTACTACTACCAAATTATTGCACAAAATTGCATGCTTGGTTTGGGTTTCATTAAGAACAGGCAGGTTATATTGTGAGAACATTAGAGAAATAACAGGTGAAAAAAACAATCTGATGTGGCCTTCACCACCTCACCAGTATTTTCACTGATCAGTTATAAACTCACAGTTTGAAATTACATAAACTTCATTTTAAATTAACAATCTAAAAACATCCAATAGGTGGCGCTAAAGCCATAAAACACTATTTAAAAGTTGTCAGTATCATGTGATTTCTGGAAAAATAGATCTAAAAACAGATCGTTTAAAATACTATTAAGACGACCAAAATAGATCTGAAAGCTTTAAAATGACTGTACAATGTAAACACTGTTTAATTTAAAAACTTTATTTTTGCTTTTTTATTGATGTATCAGGCCTATTTCAAAACATTGAAAAAACGTAAATAAACTAATACGAAATGTTTTATTCATAACCTAGACAATCGTGACAATTTGATAGAATGTTACAGCAGCTTTTAGTGATTTATTTTTCATTATGCATCATTATGTGTTTATGTACATATTGTTTTAGACAGTAAAGCCATATACAAGACAGTTCCTGTGTCAAAGAGAGAAATCTACATGTAGAGACAACATGCTAAGAACAAAAGAATAAGTCTAAAATAATATGACATTATTTATGTATTTAATGTTTTATTTGTTAGGGACAGATACAATAAACATAGATGAAAATGTAAAAACAATCATCCCATGCATGTACCATAGTGCTTGTAGCCGAAGCTAATTTGCAACACTTGTCCCTAGGAGGGCTTTTATAAATTACAATTACAATAAACAAGTAGTACACAAATGTATAATAAAAGTACACTAACATGACTACAGGTTTGTTGATGTATCAACCAAGATTTCGTGGCTTTCTTAAAATAATTATAATTTACAGTAGATTTTAAATAGTCAGGCAATGAATTCCAAAATTTTACACCTTTCACTGAGAACAGTCTGAGCAAATTATGTTTTACAATGTATAACTTTACAGTTTCCACTAGAAACCGCTCTAGTGGATCTACTGCTTTCCTGCAGTCTCTGGAAAAATGTACATAAGGGCATAGGAGCAAGACCATTTAAACATTTAAACACAAACTTTACATAATGAAATGTAAAGTTACATAATGTAAAGTTTACATAATGAACATGAACAACACAAAGTCATCAGAAGTTCATTATTTCTATATGTTTCACTGTAAAGGCTCATTGTCACATACATTAGTATTTGATTCAGTCTAATGGTATTTACTTAAGTAACAGACAATGGTTGAACTCATTGTGAAATCATGATACTGGAGATAGACAGTTAGTCATTACAGATAACATTGTCACAGCTCACATTACACAAACACATTCTACGGATAACACAAGGCCTGGAATGTTAATATTTGTTGTGCTAATATTGTACCTCAAACCATATGCATTCACAGTTGTGTTAGTGCTCTGAACACGTCATGTAAAATAGTCTGTTAAGTAACAATGGACCGTCAGTACCTATGAAGTAAAAACAAGCCTGTATGCATATATTATCTAAGCAATGCCCTAAAACCTCAGCTGTTTTAGTATTATTTATATACTATTTATTTATTTTAGTATTATTTATATACCATTATAGTATTTATTAATATTTTGAATTAGCTTTTATTTTTATATTTTCAGTTTTAGCAGTTTTGTTATGTGCTTTTGTCATTATTATTAGTTTGTTAGTTAGTTTTATTTTCTATTTCTATTTCAGTCTTCGGTTTTGTTTCAGTTGGCTGCTGAGACAACATTTCTAATTTTCATTTACAGTGCCCCTATTATGGATTTTTGAAAATGATCTTTCATGCAGTGTGTAACACAGCTCTAAGTGAATGAAAACATCCTGCCAAGTTTTAAATCTGAAAGCGCACCGTGTATAAAGTTATTGTCTCTCTAAAGAAAGAGTCTTTATCAGTCTTTATCAGAGCTTTATCAGGCTTTACAGGCAAGATGAAATGAAAATGAGACCAATCGGACCAATCACCGCAGATTAGCGTCATGCAAAGGAGGGGTTTGGAAAAATGAATCGTTAAACAAATCGTTTGGGAGCAAGTAAGGTCAAAATAAATGCATATTATAAGACAATGAAAGTGTTTTTTGACCTTGCATGCA